GGAACCGTAACTTTTAAACGGGTGAACCGATTTAGGTGCGGTTTTTTATTAAAAACAGGTTTTCTAGCTGTGGTTCTTACACATTTTTATGAAAATCAGTTAAGCCGTTTGAAGGTCATCAGCTTTTTTGTTTCGAGGGTTTTAAAAATTTTCAATTGAAGTTATTTTAACTATTTTATAATTATTAAGTCGATGCGTTATATGAAAAGATAAAATAATAATATAGAAAGAAAGATATATTGTTGAACACGCGACAAATCCTACGAGAACATATAAATGTGACGCTTTTTTCGGGAACTATAATAATATAGACGTTATTACCAAAGACTTCTATGTATACTTGTGGCGTAACGGGATTATTTTATTAGGTTTAGTGGGATTGAGAAACTAAATTCCCTGAAACGTTCAGCTACCGCAATCACAAAACTACACCAAAAACAGCAACAAACTACTCACTGTCTCAACCTCCATCACCTTAAGGTCTTTAATCGACTGCGAGTGGGCGAGAAGACTAGTTGTTGTAGTTTACTGTGACCTAGCAACACGTGATGAGCGGAAGGTTTTTACTTTTTACCCCTTATTGCGTAAGATAATTGATATTAAAGCTAAAATAAGATGCCCAATGAATATTAAGAAGAAATTGTATATTTGCTTCTTATTTGACTTCAAAATTTGATCCATAATTTAGATTTCAGTTCAAAACTTAAACATAGTTTGTATAATAATATTTATTATAATATTATCAAAATATTGGATTTAGTTATATGTAGTTTGTTTTGTGTTCTTAATTGTGTAACCTATATAATTGTAAACAGTTTTTTTTTTTCAAAAAAAAATTGTCTCGTTGGGTTTTTCGCTGGGTCTTGCCAGGACAGAGGTATTTCCTGAACCAACATTAAATTAATTATAAGAGTGACTTTCAATTTAATAGGTATTATTTAAAATCTATATTGAATAAAAAAGTTTGTTTTCCCTTTATAAAAAGCTGTTATCTATGTCTGCTGTAGATCTCCCCCTGCTAAGTCTCATATATATATATATATATATATATATATATATATATATATATATATATATATATATATATATATATATATATATATACCTACATACATATATGTATATATTATATAATAATATAATATACCCATCTACCTCTCTACCAACTCAGAAGCTGGACTTATATTATATTCTATTATTTTTTGATAAACAGTATACTTACAACTTAATAACGGAATTCCATATAAGCGATAATCGAGTATCTGGTTGTATATTGTTAAATGAAGAACAAAAATAGTTCCTGCTCAAAACATCGATATGCACCACTTTCGACAAAGCTAACATTTGTACCGAAAAAGCGAATTCATTAAAGTAATCATTAGATATGTTCCCGATGGAGTATACATTATAAATATAATAACTATCCACCACTTATAATGTTAATTATATATTCAATATGTACAGAATTACCATTATTAATTAATATTTAGATATCTTTATTAATATATAAGCATAATTAACCGATTGTAACAATTTCATACTTTATAATGCTTTATTACGCGTGCACAATAACGTGAGCCTCGCTTGGATCGTACAGCCATCGACGTTCGTTATGGACCAGTTACGGTCAGTTCAACTGATCATTCCAACTGATCAGTTCAAACTAAAACTGTTGATATTTTTTAATATAGTGGATTTTCGATATATCGATCATTATAAATATACTAATATCGGAGTTTTACATATAAGTTTATTTAGGGATATATCGAAAATCCGATATTTTAAAAAATATCAACAGTTTTAGTTTGAACTGATCAGTTGGAATGATCAGTTGAACTGACCGTGTGTGGCCACCATTAGTCTTATCAGAAAATCTCACGAAGCAATATATACATTGGAAACTTTTTTGTATACTGTACAAGCACGACGCTGTGACGTCAACGGACTCAGGTCTCAAGTTAATATGCAAGAGTATTTATTATATATGGTTGAAGAAATCAACAAAATAAAACTAAAAATTAAACCAATTAGAGTTGAATGTATCTGGACAATCGTCTGTGAATCAAATCAAATGTACACACTTCATTTTCCACTCTTTACGTTCAGACAAACAAAGAAAGGTTAAAAAGCTGCCCAAATTTCAAGTGACGTCGAAACCAAGCCAAAACCATGCTCAACTTCATAGTTGCTAGCTACAGCTGTAAGAACACGTGTTCATGTAAACATGCATTTAAAATCATTTACAACCAACCGCATGGTTTAAGATGCATATGTGTGTGAACAAAATGAACTTTCACAAGGAAGAAAGAAGAAAGATGTGTATGTGTTAGTGTGTGTCAAAAATTGAGCATGGTTTTTGCGTCACTTGTAAGTTACGCAGCGCAGCCGTTTGGTCTGAAAAGTCACCCTACACCCTTGGGGCAGTTATTACATTATTAGCAATTAAAAAGGGTGAGTTATACATTACAGAAATTTCAAAAATACAGAATAAAAATATTTATTTAAAATAAGCTTTTCACTTTGTTGCAGTCTAGTGATTAATAATTTAATATAATTAATTTAAAATATATAAATAATAGTTTTAGAGCCCGTTCACACTTGTCGGGTCGGCTGCTCTAATGGCAGTACGTTTTATATGAAGCTGTTCACACTTACCCGACACCGTAATTTTGTTCGGCGCAGACAACAAATGTCGGGTGGTTTGTCAGCCCTCTACGGCCGTAAAAATGTGCCCAACATATTGTAACATTTGGTGTTTCGTAATAATGAAAAAAAAAATAGTATAAATCCTGAAGATTTGATCACACTCGTTCAGTAAAGTGGTGTTCTATGGGACAAAAAATTTCTTTTTTTGAAATTTTTTCTTTGTTTTCTTCTAAAATAATACATCACAACAAATGATTCGTCGGCGTTCATCGTGTATAATCGCCTCGCTTAGATTGCCAAAAATGGCTCCAGCTTCAATCGGGCCCGACAACCGACTAATGTGAACAAAGGCGCCGGCCGACACCCGACAAGTGGGAAAGAGCTCTTATTATTAATTTATTTATGTATTATGTTTCATTTGTTATTATAAATAATATGGCAGTAACAGCAAACAACCAGTCTGTCGTATGAAGAGCATATACCATACGACAACTAACAAAACCCTGTGGATCCTGTTAAGTGTGTTATCAGAATCAGTATTCAAACACATAGTTGTAGTAATGCTTACAGCCTTTGTTTGGATATTGTGCTTTAGGTAATCAAGTGCATATTAAGGTGGCAACACTGTTGTTTCCGTAGTCTTTAGTTCTTAGTAATATATGATCTATGGCTAGAACATTTTGTTGTAACCATTTTTGTAACATTAAATATAATAACTAACATAAAGTGAACACTCTTGCTTATGACATAAGCCACACAAAACTACCTTACCAACTTTAAGTCAGAAAACTTGACCGTAAATTAAATTAAATTCAAATTATATTACCTTTGCAATAGGGAGTAAGAATATTGTTAAAGAGCGCTTTACCGATGCGCGTATCAGTTAAGTCATAAAACCAAATACAGTTTGCAAATAAAAATTTATTTTAATTAAAATGATCGAGTTTTCTGAGGTAAAGATATTTCTATACGTTTGAATACTGATTCTGATAATGCACTTAACGGCGATCACAAGTTTTGTTTTTACATATTGTATAATACAATTAATAAAAAATATAAACATTAAATGCATTAGTTCAATTTGCCAGCAAAACAAAAATAATCTCATTGTAAACAAAACAAAAATTTCGCAACTTAAGAACGACAGTCATCACTCGAAACTCATGTATAAACCATTTCTTACTCTTAATTTTAGCGCCAAATTGTCTATAGTTAAAATATACCTTCCATTGATTCAAAACCGAGAATTATACTGAGTTCATATTTTTTTTAAATATTTTAATAATACTTTTATACAAAAAAATATTAAGTGTAAATGTGATTATTTATAAAATGATATAACATAACACGTAATTAATATTTATCGATTATTGTATCACTTAATCGATTGTTACTAATTTAAAAAAATCTACAATGACATCAGAGTCGGGCGATTATGATGATTTATTATTAAATTTATATATAAGAAAGTCAGCCTTTATAAAAAAATGACCTAATAATTCTATAATTTTACACTTTATTCAAATGAGAATAACTTCAAAAATTTAAAAACGATTAGTTTTCGTTTACGAGCCGTTTTGTAGTAAATGAAATGCATGAAAACCCAATTTTCTAACTAAAATACCAAGTCAATTATATATACACCGTTTAAAGGTTTTTCATTTTAAGTCATCCCAAGTTACTGAATGAATAGTTTGTAATGTAACCTGTTTTAACATCACCTCATATGTAATTAAAAAAACGGCTCGTTACGGAGAACTGAACGTTTCTTGAATATAGGAATCGGTCATAAATCAGAAACCATTTAAAAGAGATTTCTAAGCGTGCACCCTAAACTGATCCTGCTATACTTAGATTTAATTTTAAACAAAATACAGGCGTTTAAAAACTTCAGGCCGTATTATACACTCAATCGCTGTATTATTTATACCTTTTTAAAAATTGCAATGAATAGGTAACCTAGTTTTTGAGCACCAATGAACGAATAGAGTACAAAAATTATCGATGACTGAAAATATCATTAAAACAGAGTTCCGATTACAATTTAAAATACACTTAAATGTTTTACCGAGAATTAACCGTATAACATCACCTTTACCAACGCATTCTCAGCTTTCTTAGTGTACCTATCGACTTTAATTGCAACACAGTATTTATTAGTAAAATATATTTAGGTTTTAAGACTTCTCTTCTGCGAAGATAATTTCTGACAAGAATTTCAAATTCAATCGAGTAAATAATAAAATTGGATTTGTGGATCGATAATCGCCGTTAAATCGATGCCAATCGAGACACAGAATCGATATGAACGTACCGAGGTGATGTAGGTGGAGATGGCAGTTGTGACAACACAACTAGCTGGGCGGGTGCGGGTCTGTGCTGACGATGACTTGCACCACGTACCCTGGCGTGATCTTGGCCTCCTCCACCAGCAACCGATCAGCTAGCAGCTTCCCGCCGTAAAACCAGCGCTGACGCCAAGGTTCGATTCCCTCTTGTGCCTGGGAAAATAATTGGATAACATTAAGCACACTTCCATACGTGGTAGAGTCACGCTGCAAATATATAGTTGTAGCACGAATGGGTCGGCTCGACCGGGGAAGGCCCACACTCCACAGAATACCAGCATAAAATAGCAGCTTAATATTTCCGTGTTTTGTATGGTGAGTGTAGAGAACCGGAGACTCTTTTTATTGGAAACGGGTAATTGCATCTTAGTGCTCAGGGGTGACAATACCTAAATAATGCATTTGATTCTTAATCGAAGATAAATGTCTACGTGTGTCTCAGGATCCACTTACCATCAGTTGGATTGTGTGCTCGTTTGTCACCCAGACCTTTTTTCTGGAAACAAGACATTCCCTCTTAATTCTCAGGGGCGACAACGCATCTGCATTTTGATTTTTAATCGAGCATAAATATAGATGTCTATGGGCCACAGTAGCCACTTACCATCAAGTGGACTGTGTGCTGGTTTGTCACCCTTATTCTAAAAAAAAAAACACTTTTAGTAGATTGCTTAAAGGAGCAGGTTATCCGTAAGCACAAGTGTGTAGAGGTCGATATCGATCGCTATGGGAAAAAATCCTCGTGTTCGCTTATAAATAGACTGGAATAGAAGAACTTTTATTCAATATAGGTTATTACATTATACTTACCAGTACTGTGACCGATACAGCCTATCAAAGCCCACTGCTGAACATAAGCCTCCCCTAAAGATTGCCTCATAGGGGGATATGTGCCATAGTTGCCACGTTTGGCAAGCGAGTTGGCAACTGCTTATTTACTTTTAGTCGTTATTAGAAAGTCTCTGCTGTCCATCTCTCCCTCCCTCCCTTTGTCGCCCTTACCGACACCCACGGGATGGTATAAAGTAGTAGATATTCTTACACCGCCGCTTCACGGTAATACTTATTCAAAGTATTTTTTTATTTACCACTGATTAGGAAAATACCTCTGTATTAGGAAGAACCTGCAAGAAACCCGGCGTGATTGTTATCAGATTTTTACAATAGAATCAGCATGATAGCGATCACCTCATTCTCAGAGATTATTTTCATTCATGTATGCCTTAATATTATATAGATAGTAAAAAACTTTAAACTTGTTGATTGACAAACTGTGAACATTTACAACATTAGTTGCAGTATAAGTCGACTATCGTCGATACCTACCACTTACAGAGAGAGCAAGGCTTTTACAAGTTTTTGAAAATATATAAAAAAAAAGATGAAAGAATACACGATTGATGATAAAACGAGCACAAAGTCCACCTGATAGTAACTGGATACTACAAACCATAGATCTACATCTATCAATTCTCAATTGATTTTTCTCAAATATCATCTCTCAATTGATGGATCAGTGGTTTGGTCATGTAGAAGAAATGAATAAGGAAAGAATGATAAAGCAAATTTTTATGGCAGATGTGAACGGCAGAGTAGGGAAGGGACGCCCTAGAAGAAAATTTATCGACCAAATTGGCGATATTTTGAAATTTTTTAAATTAAGGATCAAAATGCAGATGTGTCGTCGGACCCCTGAGGACTAAGATGGAATAGCACGTTTACAGTAAAAAGGGCCTCCGGATCGCTAGACTCACAATACGAAATACAGAAGCATTAAGTTATTTTACGCTGATATTCTGTGAGAGTACGGTCCTTCCCTGATTAAGCCGATCCCTTCATTTACCATAACATAGTAGCAGCATAACTCTACCACTACCACGTAAACTTTATTTATTTATTTTTATTTATTTAATTATATAACATTAATTATTTTTTAAATTATTACTTTTAAAGTCCTGCTGGGTTTCTTGCTGGTTCTTCCCAGGGGGGTTTTTTCTTTCGAATTAGTGGTAAGAGCATCAATTATTTTAAATATTCTCGTAATCTATATTGAAAAATAATTTTCTATTCTATTCTAATTCTTTACGATGGCACGAATTAGATTTTTTGGCAATTCCCATAGCCGTCTTACGACAGAACTAGATGAAGACGGATAGAGGTAGAACATGCATCAGGATTTTCCTCACATTTTGGAATATTTGGGCGCTTATTAGGATCGCGGGCGGATTTTGAAAATGTAGTATTTGCGTGGGAGGGGGAACGTGGATTAATCGTGAGAGTGCACAAAACCAATAATTTATTTATTTATGTTTTCAAATCTGTTAATTATTATGTTTACAACAATATGTTACGATTATTATATGGAAATAATGTTATGATATAATGAGTTTTCAATTTTTCATCTGGAAACCCTAGTTAAGAGAGATTATTTTTATAAAATATATTAAAATGAATTCGTTTATACACTATAAAATTATGTACGCAGTTAACGTTGTGCTTAAAATACTTCAAAGGTCAAACCCATGCCTAAATCGATTAAATTGGTTTTCTTTGTTGTGTATGGCGAGCCCGTTTAATCAATGAGCCTCATTAAAAAGTCGCGTCGCATCCAACTCGGCGGCTCAATTAATCATTAAGTTGTGTCTGGCGCTGCGCTCGATGCATTGTTTCGAATAAAAACGTTTTGCTGGCGTGAATCATTCGCGACTACTACGGCGCGCACAGCGAAGCACTTGTGCAATCCCTTCGGAAACAGTGCTTGCTTTTATTTTAAAATACGATGATTAAACTTTTTTTATAAAAGTGTGAATCGACTTCAACGAATCGAAATGAATAAAATAATTTCTAGATACCTCAAAAGCTTCCTTTTTTGTGAATCATTTTGACAGGGGATGGTTGTATGATGAAGCTTAGGATCGATTAGCAAGCTATTGAAAGTACCAACTCGTAGATAAATTACGTGAACAAATGTGTGCAATTATTCGCAGTAGAATAATAATAATAATCCAGACAGAATTCCGATCACGGCGGGCAGCCTGTTAAAGCATATTAGCCATCTGCGCAGGACAGGATTATAGTACCCGAGTGCATGCGCAAGTACTGGTGCACTCTTCATTCCCTCACGCTCATAATCCGATGGAACGGCAAGCCGACACGACCGCAGAGAGATCAGGACCAATGGCTTTCCGAAGCACAGGGATGATATACCACCAACTTCCTAGACTCCGGGCAGCTACTGAGAATTTCTTGACAGACGTGTTATAACCACTAGACCAACGAGGCAGACATTCACAGTAGAACCAGAGTAACTGAAGTGGCAATGGGCCTACTATGCTGCTCGAAGAACCGGTAAGCAACATACTCCATGTTGCTTACCGGTTCTTCGAGAACAGGACACAAGGAGTAAGTACCTTGTAAGCAGGCAATAAATTTAATCAAAACTTTGTTAAAATATTCGAAATGTATTAAATAATAGAAATACAAATCGAAAATATTATAATAATACAGATAAATAACATTTATAAAATTATTGGAAAAATTTGTCAAAAATTGAAAGTTATTGAGCAAATTGTTAGTTTAGAGTAGCAGTTCATGTAGGGTGTTAGTGTAAACATTGCTTATCTATATAGCTGCCGGAGACGCAAACCCAAGAGTGTACATATACATTAATATGGGGTGATCGGATGACCGACTAGGTACTATAATACTTTTGCACAATATATAGTCCTATATTAGACTTATGATAGTAAGGTCTATGATACAAAATCATTATTATAGAAGATCTCTATAATTAATAAGCATCACAGGATGCAGGTGGCTCGGGGTGTTTGTGGCATCACTTAAAATTTCAGCGGTGGGCTGATAGCCTTGTGATGAGCTATAATGATTGGTGATGACTTTTTCCGAGGTAGGTCCTCCCCGCCGAGGCGATCCATATATGCTTCAGCCTCAGATCAAAGAAAGATAGAAAGAGCTCTGCGTAGATTTCAAGTGATGCCGAAAGCAAACGTAAGTTCTTGACAATCATTCGCGCACATCTTCCTTTTTTCGTGCTTTTATCGCAGTTTTTTGCAGTGCGCGATCGTGTGTCTCGCTCCTACGCGCAGGTGCTTGTCGCACACGCTGCAGGAACTGTTAAGTTACTAGGGAAACAGCTCACCGGAGGGTGGCAGCGGTGTACTCACGTGCAGCTCGGCCTTGCAGTGCGCGATCGTGTGTCTCGCTCCCACGCGCAGGTCTCTGTCTCGCGCGCTGCAGGAGAGGCGCAGGCGCAGAGCCAGCGTGGCACCACCATCCGCAGGCTCCGACCACTCGGCAGGCGAATCCCGCCCGCTCGCCTCCTTCACCATGTTCATCGGCGGCGACAGGCAGTATATCGGCACCTGGCCCGCAGGAAATTTTACTTAAAACGAGGATTTCCTACGTTAAAACAAAGACTATATATACTACTAGACGAACTCTGAAGCCTTAATACATTGCGCGCTAAGTTACGGTAAATTCTCCGTAACACTTAGTCGACTGCGAGCGGACGATGAGACTATTTGTTTGTTTTGTTGACTCCGAACGTTGTTTTTTGACAGTGAAATACTGATTTTGTTTAATGTGACTAAGAAAACTGTTGTAAATAACACTGCATGGCATATTTACCGTGCCAGACGCGCCCGCGCGATCCACAGCAGTAACACAGTGTTCTGAATTGCCGGTCTAGTCGTTTAAATAGAAGTCTTTGCGTTAATAGGCTTTTATCGATCTCTTACTCCGCTGCATACATATTTGTCCAGCACGAAGCGTGCGGCATTCGGTGGATAGTAAGTTAAAACGTTTTTACTTATTAACTTATTATCGGGAAATATAGGGTCTAAATAAAGATAAACCTGATTTAGGAATGTAATTAAATGCCTTTCATATTAACAAAAAATATTCTACGGTTATCGCTTAAGAAAACGAAATCTCGAACAATAAAGTATTTTTCCCGGCGATTAAATTATAATTTTTTTATCTCAATTAATTAAAAATATTTTGAAAATTCATTCAATTGAAAATTTAATTGAATATTTCCTGTATGCGCATGTTTTTTCCGGGCATATACTATTTCAATAAGTATCAATTCTAGAGCGTCAACTTCGTGGCGAAAGTTTTTTTTATACCAATGGGTGACAAACGAGCACACAGTCCACCTGATGGTTAATGGATAATGTGGCCCATAGACATCCACATTTATCCTCCATTAAGGATCTAAATAAAAATGCATTGTCACCCCTAAGGACTAAGATGGAATACCTCGATTCTAGTAAAAAAGGGTCTCCGGTTCTCTACTCTCACCATACGAAACACAGTCGCATTACGCTACTATTTTACGATGGTACACATTACAGGCACTGAATACTAGCGTAAAATAGCATATTAATATAGTAGCTCAACGCTGCTGTATTTCATATTGTGAGCGTAGAGAACCGGAGACCCTTCTAGTGGAAAGGAGGCGTTCCATCTTAGTCCTCACGGCTAACACTAATCGTCGTAATCGAGGATAAATGTATATGTCTATGCGCAACAAAAATCACTTGCCACCTTGTGGACTGTGTGCTGCTCGTTTGTCACCCTTATTCTATAAGAAAAAAAATACAACGAGAGAGGTAAGCGCAGACATGTAGGGCTTTGACATATCAAGTCTTAGTTAAAATATCAGCTTAGCTCCTATCATGATTTTTCGTTGTGTTCCAAGGAAAATCTTTCCCTTCCAATGTCCTATGCATCTACATTATATGATAAATCTTTGTCTGTTCTTCGAGTAAGACTTTGGGACGCCATACTAGTCTTTAAAAGTGCTCAATCCTTATATTTGTTCAAGAAACAGGTTAAGGTACACTTTTTTTCTATATAACCCTTCCCTCTTCTTTTTTTTATGATGGTCACTGACCTACTACCTAAAGCATGTTGTCTTTCGATTGCATAAGTTGGTATCTTTTTTTTAATTTCTGTTCCTTTATACATTTACATTAATGTAAATTTAGTGCATTACCCGTTACTCTTTCGCTTATTTTTATTCAATTATTTTTCTGGGTTGTCTGGAAGAGATTGCTATGTAGCAATAAGACCCCCCTTTTGTTTTTCCGTCAATCTTTGTTTATTGATCTTTCCTTGATGTACAATAAAGTATTGTATTGTCTTTCTTTATTTATTTATTGTCTAAATATACCACGTGTACACAGAGAGCAACGTACTTTTTGCATATTTCAATTTCATATATGTGGTACGTAACGGTGCGTAGCAAGTTCAGTTAAAAGGGCAGATTACATAACATTGCAAAAACACCGAGCAATAAAATTTATTTGAAATTGGGTTATGTACAAGGTTTGAACAAACCGGATCAACTTTGCCATCGCATCTGACAGCGACAGGCGGTCCAAGGTTGGGCAGAGACTACGAAAACAAGTAACGCGTTCTTTAATCCAATATCACCGTATCAATTGGTCTAAACCGTGCACTTGAAAGTTAAGAGGATTGTGAAGCTGTAAATTTTCATACAAAAATCGATAAAGTTTTCCCTCCCGTAAACATAGTCTAGTTTTCATAATTTTTGGAAATGTTGTAAAACTTCCTCGTGCGTTTTTATTTTTTTAAATAATATAAACTGAATTCCAAAAAATAAAAACGTACAGACCTAAATTAAGGTATACTGAATCTAATGAGACTAAAATAAATCAAAATTTCGTAAAGGTTTAGGGGGTTCGGTGAAAACGTTATCGCTCGAAACAATATTTTAAAAAGAAAATGTAGGCAATTACTTCGAAGATTTGCAACTCTCTCTATCTCACGACGGCGATACGGAGCGAGCGATATGAAACAGTAGCATTTTTGAAAATAACTACTCACGCCGTAGGCACTTCAGAATCCGCTTAAACTCTGTAAGATTTCAAATATCTTCATTGTCTTTCATTCATCATTCTTATGGTCATCAGTATCATCATCATCATCAGTATAGTCATCACTTGTCTCGACTCGCAGTACAGTCAACTTAATGGTCTAGTAAACAGACAACATTGTCGTTTTTAGGGTAAATCAAATTTCCACCTCAAGCACAAACGTCCTTTTATCGGATTAGCTTCCTTATGTCATCATGGTGTATATTTTTCCCAACTGCACTAGGAGGAGGGTAATGTTTATCGATTGTATATTATGTATGTATGTTTATTTCTTTGGCACGCTCTGTAGCCTTAACGGCTTGATAATAATAATAATAATAAAGTCTTTATTTGCATAAAACATGGTAATTATACAGATGTTTCAGAGTCTTATTATGCCCACATGTTTTGCTATTTTAATATAATATTTTTTTTTATAGAAGAGGGGCAAACGAGCATGTGGCTCACCTGATGTTAAGTGACTACCGCCGCCCATGATCAACCGCAACACCAGGGGAATTGCAGGTGCGTTGCCGGCCCTTTAGAAAGGAGTAAGCTCTTTTCTTGAAGGTCCCCAGGTCGTATTGGTCCGGAAAAATCACCGGTGGTAAATTATTCCACAGAGGTTGTAACCGGAAGAAAACTCCTTTTGAAACGTACAGTGGTGGACCGCCAAGCATCCAGATGGTGTGGATGGTATCGGGACGTTTGCCGTGTAGTGCGTTCACGAAATTTGGCGGCTGGGATTAATCCGAACAATTCCTCAGAGCACTCCCCGTGATAGATGCGATAAAATACGCAAAGAGATGCAACATCTCTTCGCAGCGCCAGTGAATCGAGCCGATCGGAAAGCACTCGGTCGTCGACGATTCGAACCGCTCTGCGCTGGATGCGGTCAAGTGGAAGGAGCTGGTACTGGGGAGCTCCAGCCCAGAGATGGGAACAGTATTCCATGAGCGGCCGAACCTGCGCCTTGTAAAGTTGCAGGCGGTGTGCCGGCATGAAATACTGTCCCGCTCTGCTGAGCACGCCAAGCTTTTTTAGAGGCCAATTTGGCCTTCCCTTCCAAGTGACCACGAAACTGTACATCACTCGATATGTCGACGCCGAGGACTCCGATACTGGCTGAGGCAACAAGGGGAGTGCCTTGAAACTGAGGGGATACGACAAAGGGGTTCTTTTTAGCGGTTAACGCGCAAACTTGTGTCTTCTGGGGGTTAAACTGGACTAGATTTAGTCGCCCCCAATCCGAGACTCTGTCCAGCAGAGACTCGACTTCAGACACAAGTTTGTCCCGGCACTCGGAGACGTTTTCCCGAGAAATATTGGCTCGGCCGGTGTAAAGAGCATCACCAGTGCTGTCATCTGCATAGCAATGAATGCTACGGGTTTGCAACATATCATTGATATGCAGAAGAAACAGCGTTGGCGATAGCACGCAGCCCTGTGGAACACCAGCATTAATAGGCTTGCAATCGGAGCTTGCACCGTCTACAACGACCTTGATGCTCCGATCTGCAAGAAAACTGGTGATCCAATCGCACAATTTCTCGGGAAGCCCATAGGAAGGGAGCTTCGAAAGAAGCGCTTTGTGTCAAACCCGATCGAAGGCCTTCGCAATGTCCAAACTAACGGCCAATGCCTCCCCCTTGGACTCTACTGCCTCCGCCCATCTGTGAGTTAGGTAGACCAGAAGATCACCAGCTGAACTACCACGGCGAAAACCGTATTGGCGGTCACTAATCAGCTGGTGATCCTCAAGGTACCTCATGAGCTGGCAATTTACAATGGACTCCATTGTTTTGGAGAACAAGGAGGTGATGGCGATAGGCCGGTAGTTGGACGGGTCTGAGCAGTCGCCTTTTTTAGGGATCGGGTGGACGAAAGCCGTCTTCCATGATTTTGGGACTACGCTTAGGGAGTAGGAGTACCGGAAAAGACGCGTTAAAACCGGTGCCAACTCTGGAGCACACGTCCTCAGCACAATTGGGGGGATTCCGTCAGGCCCACTCGACTTATGGATGTCCAGGGAGAGGAGTGCTTTGCGAACCGAGCGCTGAGTGAACTGCACTTCCGGCATGGAACACTCACACCGCGGGATGGTCGGCGGCGTACTCCCCCCGTCATCGAGAGTCGAGTTAGACGCAAAGAAAGAGCCTAGAAGATCGGTTTTCTCCTTTGCGGTGTGGGCCAGTGAGTAGTCCTCCCTGTGCAGAGATGGAAGAGATGGCTGACAGAAATTCCCCTGGACAGCCTTGGCGAGAGACTAGAATGCACGGGTTCCAGAAGGAAGACGAACTAGTCTCTCGCCAATTCTGCCTATGTGCTCTGACTTTGCCTTGGCAATGACTCTTTTGAAGGACCTAGAGGCGGAATTATACTTCTTTTTTAGAGCGCTGGTGTTTACATCCCTGGACGCTGATGCGTCAGCCCAGGCTCGGTAGCACTCCTGC